CATAGTAATCAAATTTTTCAGTAATAAATGTTTTATATAGATCAGAATATCGCAACAATATCTTATTACGAAAGTAAACATGATCATGAGTTGGATTAGATGATACACTTACCTCAGTTTCTGGTAAAGTTTTTGAATCGATAGAAACAGATAAGTCTGAAACTTGGCCTTTAGTCAGCTCATGCTGAGACTTTGTCTCTTTGATAGGTATACTTGCCTCAGATAAAATTTTGGTTGCATGGTTTTGATGATTTTGGCAACAGGCTGTCGTTGAAATTTCAGTCATGTGATTTGATTCCTCCTCTATATTGAACTCGCGATCAGAAATATTATCGATAATCTTTTGAATTTGATCATTGGTCAACTCTGAAATAGAATTTGCACTATATGCTTTAAGATACTTAATCTTATCTTTGCCTATTTTTTCAAATAACTTATATGTCTTTACAGCCCTTTGGGTTTTTCTACATAAAGTTTTACGTGAGATTTCTGGGAGCTGTAATCCCATTTCTTTGGATCTTTTTTCACGGATAATAGTAAGGTGCTCTAATATTTTATCATAAATTATACCCTTTGCCTTTTTTTTACCAATATTGCCATTACTGTTTTTTATAAGATCATTGTACTGAATTATGAATTCTTTTCTATAGTTAGTCCAGCATAAAATTTCTTCCCGGTTAGCTTTCATAGCATAATATTCAGCGTTAGTTGCTTTATCAAATAATTGAGCTAAATCGAGTAATGAAATTGTATCAGAATTTTGACGACGGGCCGTTGCTAAAATTTCAGTCACATGATTTGAATCTGAAATAACATTATCCTGAATGCCATCAGCTATCACCTGGGCGATATTCTCTGTTCCCTTTTTCTTGTGCGATTGAGATATTTTCTCCTAGCTTTTATGTTGATTCTGATCCCATAGCTTTTTCACAGTTTTCGAGTCTAGAGATTCAGGTGTCGACATGGTTGATACTTTGGATTGTATCGGTGAGGTTAATTTATTATGTGATTCTTGAAGTTTTTTTTCCCGGTTCCTTTCTCTTATCTCACTACTAATCCTTTCCTTATATATCGTTTCTACAAAATCAAGGGTCTCAGCTGAATCATCATCAATAATATCTTGTGGTAAAGAGGTTGTAGATGTTTCAGGCTCCATTGAAAATTCAGATTGGGTTGAGCTATGTTCTATTTCAGGCAAGGGATTGTGAGTAATACATTTCTCCTCATCAGAATGGCTCTCGATAAATGGCGAAATATCTTTTGTAGAAGATACTTCCTGTTCATTAGTAATAACCTGGATCTGTTTCTGTTCCAATTTCACAACTCTAACTTTAAGCTCATCGTTTTCGGCCTTGAGGTTAGTAGTATCGATTTTATTTTTCTCTAGTTCCTCGATTCTGGCCTTGAGTTCAACATTCTCAGCTTCGCGTTTTGTGTTCTCTTCCATAACCCGTTTTAACAGTTCAGCATTCTTTTCCTCAAGTTCACACTTTTCCTCAAGTTCACACTTTTCAGCTTCAAGCTCGGAAATTCGTTGTCTTAATGAATCAATTTCGGATTGCATGTTTTAGTGATAGATTGTATATATTTATTATTTATTTAAAATGCGTAATTAATGTAGAAAAAATTTGGCAACAGCTCTTCGTCAAAGACTCCAGAAAAAATGTTTATTAAAACAACAGATAAAAATATTCAACCGTGATGTACAAAATTTGTATTACGCAATCGAATTGTTAAATTCACAAAATAATTATTGATATAATGTGTAGTCCTTATTAACATAAATTTATTTTGCTAATAAAAATCATATTACATTTATTTCTTTTGTTTTTTTGATCGATCATTTTGTTTTTTTGTTCTGTCAGGAGTTGGTGGATTCGGCGTCACTGTATGAACCTTCCGTTTGGCCAACAATTTTTGTTTTGGATCAACAAGTAATTTTCTCTCTTTTGTATTTTCTTTCATGAAGGACTAAATGTAAAATTATTATTAGTAAAGAATTGGTGGAAAAATTATATAAACATTTATTATACTCACAAAAAATTTTAAGCACATTGCAATTGCTTCTGATAATACAGGAAGATCTTCCCACAGAAGAGGAACCTTAAAGCTCCCAAATTCACGTAGGCAATATGATTTTTGATGCATTGTGCACCAAAATAATGATACTTCGGTGCAGTAGCCTAAGGCACCAAAGCTTGCAAGATCATTGTTATCGAAAGTTCCATCATTAAGTCTTAGAATTATTCGTTGGTTTAATATGTCTCTCATGGTTCTGGTCAATTTGTAATCATGAACATACAAATCAGTGAGATCGTTATAATCTGGCGCTCCTGACTGCTCGTATATAAAAACTTCCTCACGACTTCCCCAGAGGCGAGCTAGACCATCAGCACGTTTTGCTGATAAAACCTTATAAATAATTGGATTGATATTGTTATTACGTCGGTGCTTACTGCTTTCTATGGGAACCTCAAGGCTAATATCATAATATTAATTAATAGTTTTAATAGTTGCAAATGAATACTCTCGGAATGGATAATTGGTTAACTTACATTCGCCAGTCAACATTACATATAGAATTAAGTGTGTTATTTAGTATCGGGTTTATAAACTGAGCATTAAATTGATTTTCCTCGATATCTCCCGATTTTAGAATGTTGTATGGTGCCTCGAATGCTTTAATACTAAAAAAATACAAATCAAAAATATTATTATATAATAAATCCGAGAGTATGAGAAATCTTCAAGGTTTAACATACTATGGAGAAAGAATATTGTATATCATATCCTTTATTGTAAGGTCTTCATTGCTTTCGTTTTCGCTAGAAATTACACGAAGCTCACGCCAAACTTTTATCCAATCCATTAAAGATCCTTTCGGCTATTTGCAACCAATAAATAATAAAAATTAATTAAAACGTAAAGCAATTCACTTTTTCCAGATTTTACAACATACTTCGAAAACATATTTTATTAACTCTTCCCACTCTTTAGCTAATTTGTATTCAGGATATGTCTTTGATATAAACTTTTCCCAAACGGTTTCAGATATTTTTTCTGTGAATTTTGAAGCGGGTCTAAGATCCATTATATCACTAAGACATAAGCTAATAAAAAGTGATAATATAAATAAGACTGTCTTTTTTCCATATTAATCAGAAGAACGGATTCTACTCACTCAAAATCATTTTCACACACATTACGATAATCTTCAAAAATTTTCTCCAAATCGACGTTTTCTACAATCAGTGCTGTTCTTTCGACTTTCCCGACCATTGATTCCGTTGCTCTTTGAAATTTGTCATTCGAATCTGATTTGATTCAATATATTTCAGTTATATAACAGATATTTAGCACAAATCATCCATTTACAACATACCACTAAATATAACACCTTTTTCGTCATTATCATGAGGTTGATTTCCGACTTCTTGATTTTCTTCACTTGGTGCGTTTTTAAATATGGCTGTGAGCATAAAGAGTCTATGTTCATGAGAGAAATAAATCGAAAGACATACCCGAACTTCCAGGCTTTCCTTTGAATAGTTAATTTTACAGTGGAGGAACTTTATATGGACAAAATAAAAGTTATATGTGACCATCGAAAAGAACCCAAGATGTCTTTAAAAGAAAATACCTTTGGCTTCCTATTTCATCAACAATAGCTGTCTTGACACTTGTCTGAAAAATCAAAATAGTGAGCAAATAATCGTAACATTTGTAATAATATTGCTCAACTTTGAATCACCTTAGTTATTAGTTCGCTGAGTGATAAACGAACTTGAGACTCTGCAATTTCTTTACTCTTGCTCCATACAATATTACAGATTTCTGACGGTCCGTTCTTATACAGTTGGTAAAGATATTAAAAAAATTTAAAACTCGGAATCTTTAACATTATCGATAGTGGTGTACACGCGAAAGAATCACATAGTGAAGCCATCGCGCTTCTCCTCCCCATCAGGTTAGGCGCACCCAACCATTCCTCGGAAGCACCGAGGGGCGTAGTGAAATGTATTCTGACGTGTCTTCTTTAACGTAAACTAACCTTTAGTTATTTCTGTAACAGCGATGCTTTCTCTACAACCCTTTGATCAGATGCTCCAGAGAGAACTTCCAACTCACTAGACAGTGAAGTATGAGCTCGATCTTGCTTTTGATGTTGAGCTGGATCCAAAATATATCAAACGACTCGACTGACCATTTCTGGAAGTTGGTATTTAACCAGTAGTCTACAAACAAAACGGATATAAACATTCTAGAACGTTGTGCATGCTATAATCGACATAAGAGAGACTGCTCACCTTCATAATAAAGGTTGGACGGAATGGAAATCTCTTGCGTGTTGAACTCGGACATTTTAGTGAAAAAAAATTGACTGATCCTAATTTCTTTATGGCACATATCACGTGTCAAAACCGACAATATTATTTTTACATAATTGCTTTATATTCCGGCCAAGATAACAGTGTAGGGCAGAGACGAAGAAAGAGGAATATGCGGAGCATAAAGTCAAAGACTCATATAGCATGAAATCATTATCGTTGCCATTATTGCTACATTGTATATTATATTACTAATAACGGGATTATCTTTCTTTTCGATCCAATCCTCGTATTCAGTCGAATTAGTTCAAAATCACATGACCAAAATTTCAGCCGTCGTCGAAATCGCACGATTAATTTTGTACATATATCTTTTCCTTCAAAATTTTGGCACGCACAAATCATTTCAATGCTAAGATGCTAAGATAGCCAGGCAAAATTTAATATAATCACGATTTTTGGTATACATTACACAAAAAATAACACATGATACATTGTACATTCCTCTAACCAAAAATCTTTATTAATAAAATATGTGATAATAATACAGGATAAAATACATGATATCTGGCCCTTTA